GCTCGGACCAGAAAAGAACCTAGAAGCGTTCATTTATTGCTGCCATGATTCTTCCCGTGAATAAACATATTCAGACTCTGTTTATATTACACCGATATAAAGCATTAGTGGAATTTGTTAGCCGCTCTTCCCTGCTGGCTGGAAGCATTACTTCATCAGTATCACGGCTTTGGTGACCTTGAGTCTTGAAATCGCGTGTTCGAATTCTGGTTCATATCTTAAATATTTTAAGAGTAGTGACTCATGACGCTTTGCAGCGAGTATAATTTGTTTAACGGCGATCATTCAACTTCAAAAGCTACTATGGCGGCAGCCAAGGAGGGGGCAGCTGGACATGCAACTTCGTTGGATTTCTAAAAAAAAAAAAAAAGATTAAATCGAAAAAGACGGTTATGTTCCGAATATTATTAACGGAAAATAAAATAAAAACTTTACGTATAGACTCACAATTCTAAGGCGATCCGTGTAGTTATTCTTAATTACCCTCTATCTAAGTTTATGAACAAATTTTCCTGCTTCCCCCCACCCAGTGGGTCTTATTTTCCCGTGTATGGGTGACTAAAGACGAGGTTCGGATTGGTAATTGGATTTATTAACCTACAAGTCGTAATTACAATTAATTATTACACTGTTACTAATTTTCACACTATCCAGTCCACCGCCGCACACGCACCAGGATTCTCAGTATTCACTAGTCTTCTCCAACAACAGATCTCAACACAGAAATTAGCACTTCAAATCACTTTGAAGTTCTCTTGATATTTCATCTTCAAACACTCTGGAACTTCGGAACTAAAATTCTTCTGGACTCACTCCTCCAGATTACGACTGACTCGTAAGTGCCCTGAACGAATTCTGTCACTTATATAGCAGCGGAACGGTCATGGACTTACAGTAAACGTATCACGTGATCGCTATCCAGCCAGTCTATTTGCGCGTCGGTCGGATCTACAATAAACACGTCATGTGGTCTCTAGCCACTGTTGTGTGACGTCACCGCGGACACGGAAAACACAGCTTCCTCTATTGTTGCGTGTTGGACCGTGTTTACAGAGCTGTTGCCTGGCAATGCGATGATCAAATCTGTTACACTATGAAAGCTGTATTATAGTGTCGAGTGTGAGATAAAAATTGTCATGAAGATACTATCTATCATTAGGCTTAAGAGACTGAAGAAAACCATGAAGATTTTGGTCAGGGTAACGGGTAACCTGGCCGACATTCAAATCAGGTACCCCTTAAAAACAAACGATAAAACTAGTGCCAGTAACACAATCAAAACATCGACTCGTAGCGAACTCTATCTGAAAGTAGATAGTACGAGTAATTTCACTTTGAATATGCACACAGTAAGCATCATCGATACGTCAGTAATGCAGTCTAGCTCTGCAGGCGCCATAATTCTAAAACAGGATTCACATTTCAGGTAACTTATGTTTGAAATTGGTGGGAGACAACGTGTGTCTCCGCTTATGACATTGGATATGTGGCATCGTGTAGTTTGGTAGATAGGCAGGGATACCAACATTTCGGAGGGACATGCTGTTTCCATCTTACAAGTAGAAGAGGCATTATACGAGTACTCAGGGATAAGGGTTAAGCACTGAGAAATAGTAAGGCAAAGTGTCGAAATTTGAAATTAATTGCAGAAAATTTTAACATTATGAAACCATAAATATATAACCTGCGGAAAGGACCAGATCAGATCCGAGCACAGTACTGGCTGGTATAAATCTGTACATATATAATTACTGTATGGATAATTATTTTCCCAAAAGAGCTGTAGAAAATATCTTGCCTTATGATGCACAAGTTGTAATATTTCCAGATCATCTCTGTCATATGGGCCGAACTTATTTACTTATGGAGCTGAGCCCTTCTTGAGAAGCCAAATCTGCAGCTACTCAAGAATTTCCCAGCATTTTATGGAACCCCGAGGTTCATTACCATGTTCACAAGAGTCCTTTACTGGCCAGATCAA